TAATCACACGCATCTCATAATTCATTAGTCAACATGTATTACATCACGGGGTATATATGTTAATAATCACACGCATCTCATAATTCATTAGTCAGCATGTATTTCATGACTAGATGTATATGTTAATAATCACACGCGTCTCATAATTCATTAGTCAACATGTATTACATCACGAGGTATACATGTTAATAACTACACGCGTCTCATAATTCATTAGTCAACATGTATTACATCACGAGGTATACATGTTAATAACTACACGCGTCTCATAATTCAAAAGGTAACCAATTATTTGAGGATTAGTTTTCTACATTGGTTCTCTGGAATTCCTACTTATATATACATGTATGTAAGTTCAATATTTTAGTATAAACTAAAGCACTGATTATCAGAGACTCGTCTAATTCATAAGGTTGATAAGTATTAATGCATGGTGCTTCTATAATGGTCATCAAGCGTATCTACAAATTAAAGGTCAGTAAATAGTTCAGCAGACTTTTATATCAGCCATCAGGTCTGTCTTCTAATTCAGAATTAGGGTTCTATGTTGTTCATCAGACCGTGTTTATTTATTCATAACTATAGTAAGTATTTCAGGATTATGGTTGTATATTGTTCATCAGGCCTCTCTATTTTTTTCAATAAGTTCATTAAGTATTTCAGCATGTGAGTTGAATATTGGTCATCAGGCCTCTCAACATTTCAATAAATTCGGTAAGTATTTCAGCATGTAGCTTGAATATTGGTCATCAGACCGCGTCCGCTTTTGCATAAGGTCGATAAATATTGTTAGCATTAGACTTTTGTGTTGATAGTTGGGATTTATACTACCTCAGAAAGTCATTAAATGTTTCAGGATTAGAAGTGTCTACTAATTGATAATGCCATCACCTTTCTGTACACGAGAATCTTTGAAAAACAATAGAAATAAAATAAACCCCACGCCCAAATCTGGAGAGCAGTCTCGGTATTAGAATCGTTTTCAACACTCAAGTGTGTGTTTGTTTTCTTATAGCAAAACCACATCGGGCTGTCTGTTTTGTCCACCGAGGGGAATCGAACCCCTGATTTTAGCGTTGTAAGTCCGAAGACGTGCCCGGCATGGCCAGGTGGATAAGGCGCTCGACTCACAATCTGAGGGTCGCGGGTTCGAATCCGCATCCCACCAAACATGCTCGCCCTTTCAGCCGTGGGGGTGTTATAATGTGACGGTCAATCCCACTATTCGTTGGTAAAAGAGTAGCCCAAGAGTTGGCGCTGGTTGGTGATGACTAGCTGCCTTCCCTCTAGTCTTACACTGCTAAATTAGGGACGGCTAGCGCAGATAGCCCTCGTGTAGCTTTGCGCAAAATTCAAAAACAAAACAAAACAAAGAAAAGTCCAAAGACTCACCTCTGTCCTGCTGGGAGACTCAACACTCAACGTCCCAGAACTATAACTTTACCCTTGAATTATGTCTTTCGATTTATCTTTTAACAAACATAAACCGGTGTTAAGGTTTTGAAATTATACAAATTACGTGCATCTGGTATACTCCACTGGCTCAATAGCTCGACTCCAATTCTGGTCATATGGCGTATCTTTTAATTCACGCGTTGTGTAACAAATAAATACCTCCCACCTTTCTAACGAGATTGTTGATCATTTACAATCAAGAACTGATTGTAAAGTTTACGTTAACATAAATAACAAGTAGAAATCTGAAGATCTTCGAGTATGTATATATTGTTTTTCTTCTAAAATTAAGTTATGTGACATTGTAAAAAATAGTATATTTTCAAAAAGGTGCGGTACTCACTCTAAAATATATATAACTAATAATATTTTTAAGAAAGAAAATATTACATTAATATGTATGTTTTACTCTTATCATTTAAATATAACACACATGGAATTAGATGGTCGTCTTTTGCATCCTAATAGATCATAGAGGAAGATTTAGTTTTGGTAATTTCGGTCAACTTTTTATGTTGTTTTTTTTCAGAATAT